TGACTCTAGTTAACGATGTATTTTATTCCCCTTTCACTTTTCTTTTTTAAAAAAATCTATTTCATTTATTATATTAAATCTCTTTTATCTGTTCTTCTACACTTTTTAATTCTTTATTGCCTTCCGTTCTTTTAAAATTTATTTAGTTGTACTCTGCTTTATTTTCTTGTAATCTCCATTGTCTTTATTATCCTTCGATCTCCTTTTTTTTTTTTCTTCCTTCACTCTCCATTATTTTTTTAAGGATCTCTCATCCTAGAGAGCTCAGATCCTCGGGATCAGCTAAAAAAAGGTCTCGGTTCCTGTTACAACATTTCTAAAGTTTAATCTTTGCATTAACACGGATTTCACCATTTCACCAGAAATCCTCTCCCACGCCCAGCCCAGGGGACTCAGTCCTGTCCTTCCCTTTCCAGCCGTTTCATGGAGCAGATGCCGAAATTTTCACCGACACTTCGATTTTAGCTGCAAGTGCAATTACAAAATAATTAAGGAAGCTTTGAGATGATTGCATTTTTATTTTTATTTTATTTTTTCCTCTTTAACTTTGGCACGAGCCGCTCACGAAGCTCCTTCCAGAGGGAGGGAGTGCTAAAGGCTGACGGCCTGCCCCGGGGGTTATTATTCCATCAAAAAACCAGGTGAATTTAAAACACTGAAGATGCTGGGGAGCAGCAGCGTTGCCGCTTCCTCCGCACCCTCGGGCTGGTGCTGGGGGAGCAGCTCCAGGAGGGGCCCGTGGGGGTACGGGATGGACCCTCGTGATCACACCCCAGTCCCCAGTGACAAACTGAGAATCACAGCACGGTCTGGGATGGGAGGGACCTCAGAGATCGTCTGATCCAACCCCGGCCATGGGCAGGGACGCCCTGAACCAGCCCAGGTTGCTCAAGGCTCCGTCCAACCTGGCCTTTGGGCATCTCCGGGGAGGGGCCAGCCACAATTTATTCCAGTCTGGCCACCCTCCCACTGAAGAATTTCTTCCTAAGATCCAACCTAAACCTCTTCTCCTTCAACTTAAACCCATTTCCCCTTGTCCTGTCACTGGACACTCATTAAAAGTCCCTCCCCAGCCTCCCTGTAGGTCCCTTCAGGCGCTGCAGCAGGGATAAGGTGCCCCCGGAGCCTTCTCTTCTCCAGCTGAACACCCCCAGCAGCCCTGGGGGCAGCCCAGCACAGGGTTGGCCTCGGGGCTGTACGAGCACTCGGCCGGCTCAGCTCGAGCTGCTCGTCCATCAACACCCCCAAGTCCTTCTCCTGAGGGCTCCTCTCACCCCATCTGCCCAGTTGGTGTTTGTGCCTGCGACCGGCCCGACCCAGGGGCAGGACCTTGTCTTTCGACTTGTTGAACCTCCTGCAGTTTGCGCTGGCCCCTTTCTCCAGCCTGTCCCTGGACCTTTGGCCAAACCCACGGAGCGGTGTTAGAAATGATTTCCTACCTCTTCCAGAGCTGATAAGATTCCTTTTCCCTCCCCTCAGAGACACAAGCATTCAGAGCTGGGGCAAATCCACGCCACGTTTAGGGGTCGATACAAACCGGAATGGTCTTTGAAAAGGACTATTTACAAAGCCAAAAATTTAACTTTGTTTTTGAAAGTTTATTGGATCACCTTGACACAAAATCATTACAGCAGCTTGTGGTATGTTGTTTTCTTTTTTTGTTTGGTGTTGTTTTTAAGGGAATGTTGATAGCAAATAAATTTGTGAATGTAACACATCATACAGTTTCAAAATTCTAGAATCACCGCACAGGATTCTGTAAGAGAAGACTCTACATGCTAAGGTGACAGTTTTCATCCATGAATTTAAAAAAAAAAAAAAAACCAAAAACCACTAATCGAGGAACATCATCCTTTAAGACAATTTTAATATGCTCAGTTTCTAATACACAAACCGGCTGACCAAGGGAGGTTGACCAATACCAAAATCTACGACCTCGCCGGCGGTGGAGCCTCCTGCAGAGGAACTCCTGCCGCGCACGAGCGCATTCAGCACAGGTCCTGGCACCAAAACCAGAGCAGAGCCTTCGCAGAAACACCCCAACACGGGAAGAGCATGAGACACACCTAAAGGACACTCGCCCAAAGGGGAAGATCAGCACCTTGTCCTGTTCCCCACGTGGGGTTTGAGTTGAGGTGCTGGAGAAGCGCCGAGTGACGCGGCTCCTCCCTGGGGACCCTTCTGGCGCCAGTGCCCAGCAGAACCCAGCCCTCGAAGCAAAACCACTCAAAGTGTCTTCTTGGTTTGCCAGGTAGGGAAGAGCAAGTAAAAGAAGTGGGGAGAGACAAAAATAAATTAAAAAAAAAAAATAAATCAGAAGCAAGAGATCTTGGAGAAGGACACCGAAGAAGCATCTCCGTCGAGGACAGTGACGCTGCTTTCCAGGGGTTCCACGAGATCTCAGGAGCGCAGGGTGGCCTTCACTCGGCAGAGCCTCCCTCTGCTACGGACACAAAAAAAAATGGGCCCCGGGCGGGGACAGTTCTGCTGCCGCAGGGACCCGGTGACACCAGCAAGGAAGGGGACAAGGGAGACAGGACATGATTTCCTGGCACAGAGGGGGGGAACGGGGCTGTACCCACCAACTGCTCAGAGCACAAGGGGTCACACACGTGGGTGTTTCTCTAACCTGGTAGTGGTCAACCTCAGGTGGCGAGCAAATTGATTTTAAAAAAAAAAAAAAAAAGAACAAAACAAAAGAAAAAAAGCAGGAACAGACCCCTCTGGATTTCCAGTTTCTTGCTACAGCCTAACTTTTCAGGAATGTGAAATTGAAGTGGACTCATAAAACGCATCAGCTGCTCGAAGGGGAGAGGCAGGACAGACTCCATTTGCGGGGGCAGCCAACAGGAGCAGAGAACCAAACGGTGACGCTTCCGGCCCGTTTCCTTTTGTGCACTCACTCTCGACTCTTGCAGCCGTCACTAGAAGAAGGTTAAGGCTTGAGGCAACTACTACAAACAGAAACGCAAACACCCCGGTTCTCACAGGGCTCATCGGGATTAGGCTCGAGGAGATGGAGGATGTTTATACGCTGATCACAACAGATCTTGAGATAATAATAATAACAACAACAATAAATCTTTTTTTTAAAAAAAAAAAAAAAAAAAAGAGGCCTTTAGGTCCAGCACCAGCCTCTGCTAGAAATATACATCAACTACAGCAGCCCTGAAGACAAATTCCACAGCTAAGGATCAAGTCAACCTCCCCTGGCAATAAGCACAAGCAACAGACTCCGTGCTACTGTTGACAAAATTCTGCTTAGTCCACCGTCCCGCGCAGATGGCAAGGGTGATGGGATCATCGTGAGCTGCTGAATAAATAGCCCCCCCCCCCCCCTCCCTCCCTCCTCCAGTCATGTCACCAGGATCTCTTTGGGCTAGAAAGGGTTAACACCACAGTTTGTAAAAAGTTTTGAAATAAAAAGGTAACATACAGCCTTAAAATGTCTAAACTGCGAACAATGGTGGAGTTAACTGAAAAGCACGTGCCCCAGGATAGTACATGCGTACGAGGGAGAAACTTAACACTTGGGTCTGCTCGCCTTTACACATTGGGTGTGTTTCTCATAGCTGGAATATTTGATAAGGAATATTCAGCACTTGGACAATGTCTCTTTCATCTCATCCAACAAGTTGCTAAGCAGGGTGGAATCGTTACATTTCCCATCTATGGATACAGAGTTCTCTCCCTTGGAAAGAAAAAGAAGAAGAAAAAAAAAAAAGAAATCCATTAGTTCCTCTTCTAAGCAGGGACAATTTTATGCCCGGCCTGGCAGCAGCCAGTGGAGCTCGCACAGGAATGAAGGAGCCTCAGTCGAGAGGTCGAGCTGGGGAAGCTGCCCGAGCTGTGACAACCCACTGGGTACGGAAAGCCCCCGGGGAGGTACGAGCTCGGCAGCAGGACAGCAAAACCTGCGAGATGGGTCAGACAAATTAAACTGCCCACGGTGCCCCCGGATGATTTAGACAGGCTGCACATTTAGAGCTCCCCTTGTTTCAGAGTGGTGCAAGGTTCTCACCTTTTTTACCAGTAGGCAGACGTGATGGCCTTGGATAGAACGACTGTACATGGACGCACACGAATCGACGCGCTCCACAACTATAAAGAAAGCAGGAGTTTCCATTTAGTGGGACAACTCTGAATACAAGGTTTGCTTCCCCTGAAGAGGAGCTACTGCTCTGCCTGGCCTCAAGGAATAAAAGCTTCTCCTAAGCGAGGGGAAGAGGAAGCCACGGTTAAGATGATGGATGTGCCTGGCTCCTCCTGGCTCCAATCTGGGATATTTCACAATAACCAGGTCGGTCGTTTGTCTTCTAAGCAAGCTGCAAATGTTTTTTTTGGGGAAAAGTGCTGAGCAGAACGTAAATCTCTTCCCCAGAAATACTTTCAGCGAAGAAACATGTAACGTGGACAGCAGCGCACGATGAACCACTTGCTTCGCTTCACCCAGTACTTGTGTTTTAATTAATAAGTCAAAAATTTCAACCGCTCAGGAGGTGTTGGGGAAAGAGGCAAGGCTGAAGGACCAGAGATCAAACGCACCCCCCAGAGAACCGTTAGAGCACTAACGATAAGGAAGCTGCTCCCAGGACACCCGCCATGGGCCTCGCTGGACGGGAGGAAAGCCACAGGGACAGAAAGAGAGCTCATTTTGAAAAACATTTCATGCTTTCGGGATACCCATGTGTGACAAATCTGGAACAAACTCCTCTCCCACATTTCTTTAATCTGGGCATCACCGCCTGCTGTCACTGGGGAGGCCATGGAACATGCCAAGCACAGCAGAAATTTCTGGTCATAGAACTGGGCAGAAGGTTCTGCTTCGAGGAAGACTCACCGGAAAAGTGATGATGAAAACAGATCTTTGCCAGTAGATGTTGGAAAGAAATGCTAATTCCATCTACTTTAATAGAACTCATGTGCAGATCTCCAGACTCTAGGAGCTTGGCAAAAGCATCACTGCAAAACAGGAAGGAAAGTAAACGCTTGTCCTAGAAATTCAAGTGAAATCTGCCACCTCACCCTCATGCAGACCTTGAGACACCCCAGGATGCAGAAGTCTAAGTACTACAAAGCTCTAGGAAAATGGGTTTACAGCAGATACAGGCACCAAACTCCAGACTCTACTGGAGTACCCAGTGACCTCAGCCCAAGCTACTGCCACACGACCTCTGCCAGCCTACAGGGCACACAGCTCCTCCTTTGGAGGCGCTCCGAGTCAGTCGCTGGCCGTATTTTGAACAGCCAAACATTACACGAGATAACTGAACTGTAACCAAAGCCATCACAAGCAGCCAAAGTCAAAAGCACGCTGCGTGTCTTGCGGAGACGGCCTGCAGCCAAAGCTCAGCTTCCCATGGGCGGCGAAAGCACCGACGTCGCGCTCCCTACAGGGCACTTACCTATAGCAAGGCGTCGTGATCAAGTATGAAGCGCAACTGAAGTGCAATTTGAAATCTAGTTTTTCATGGGTTGAACCTTCATCGTTCTGCAACAGGTCAAAGGAAAGGAGATGAACGGGAGCCCCGAGGCAGCAAGAGGAGGCACCACTCCCACCTACCAAACAGGCACCAACGAAGCCTTTAGGGCTCAATTCCCTTTGATATACCCTGGCTGGGCCTGAAGGATCCGTCTGAGAACAACCATCATGGCACTTAGGGAAATTTTGGGCAGCTAAGTCGATACACACACACCTAGAGCACGTGAGGGACACAGCTGGAGGAATCGGGCTGCATTTCTGGTTGCACTCTGCTGAAACACATTGAGCAAACTCAACTTCAACTAACACTTGGAAATGTGGTTTTACAGTTCGCTTCTTCTCAAGCAAAATAGTAAATCGGTATCTCCCAGATTCCCAGGTACTGAAAATAGGACTAGTGCACTATTTTTAAGAAACCCCTACAAACAGAGATAACGGCTGACTCAGAAGTAGCCACAACAGTCTCCATTCACTTCCTTCAAGCCGTTCATGCAGCCCCTTCATTAATAATTTAACCCAAGTAAGATGAGAAACCCACGAAGTCTTACACAGGTCAGTACCTATTAAACAATGCCTTCAGCCAACGTCATTCTTGTTCTGGGTTTCCATCCTCATGAACTCTACCTAATTCTTACGGCTATTTCTCCAGCCTGGTACCAGGTAGCAGCATCCAACCGATCTCTGGATACTCGAGATCAGAAGGACCAGACTCTGGGTTGCAAGGCTCACGAGTTGCTCGAGCACCTCTCCCCGGCAGAGGCACCACCGCAGCGAACTTCTGGCCGACACCGCGGCATGTTTCAGGCTGCATCGCTCACGCGCTGCCAGGAATGACAATTTTGGACATGCTCACGCAGTACCCGGGACACTCTTTGCACAAGAGTAAAAATACTTCTCGCATCACAGAATGGGCTGGTGCAGCAGAGATGAAATGAAGCCTAAAAAAAAGCTCGAAAGCAGTGCTTTCCACCCGAGTCAAGCTCCCTCACGCAGTTCCAAAGGAAGCAGAAGCACCAAGTTTAAAGCTGCACTTACTTTGACTATAAAGGACAGCGTTCCTTTTAACTTCTGAGCCATAACAATACTCTGAAGTGTAAACACAAACTGGGCTTCATTGGAGATTCCTAGCATGAAGAGAGGAGAGGGAGAAGTTAGGCCAGAAAACGGTTTCCATATCTAAGTAACAATTAGAATAAACTGAGCGGAAGCACCTACGCTTTACGTACTATTTGCAAACCACGTTTGAATCCTTCTGTGCAGTTGGAAAAGTTACATGGACAGGTCCTGTTGCAAATTAACAGCGTCGCAGCGCTTAACTCCAAAAACCAGCAGCGACAGCTGGCATTTGGTGGAGGTTATTAAGTGAGCTCCTGGGCAAAGTATGTCACAGTGGCAATAAATTTAATGTTTGTATAACTGGAAAGATACAGCCTTCCAAGTGGTTTTCAGAACTAATCTGAATTCTAATGTTTCTGTGTTTTTCTTTTAATTACAACTCTGTCAATATCCACCTTATACAGAATAATAATAATTAAAAAAAATACCCCAGGGCTTTTCATGGAGGATCAAAATGAACCCTGAAGCCACTAAATCCCAAAAGACCCGTGAGCTCTTTCAGCATTCACATTAACTTTTTGGTGAAGGAAGTGAAATTCAAAGAAGTTCAGCGATTTGACTGTACTGCTGTACTATGGAAGAAGCCCCTATCCTTTGTCTCAGCGTCTGGGACTTCTTAAGGGCTCAGCCCCCACCCAAATAAGCACAAACTGATCGCAAACTTCCACTGTGCATGGCCTCTGCCTTTAAAACAGCAGGACCTCAAGAATAAATCCAGAGTGGATTCTAATGGTTCACAACCCTACAGCTACGTTTCATTTTACACCTCATAACAAACTCCTCACAGTTTTTGGACTCCTGTAGTTGGCGATGCTGGCACATTCAAAGCGGCGCCAGCCTGCAGCCACCTGAAAAAGGAACTCAGAGATTCGGATTCCCAGCCCTACGTTATAGATTTTGCTCTTGCTGTACAGAACCAGCTGTGTTTATAGCCATAATGTGAGAAGGCTCATCCTCTCCAGGGAATTGTGTGAAAGCCCAGCAAACCCCCAGGCAGAGGGACGCGCCTTTGCGGAAGACAGCAAGTGGCGAGACGTTCAACCAATTCTTTCCACAGGAGGGCAGTGCAGGAGTGGACAAGCTCCCAGAACCCTGTGCATACCCGGGGGCAGCTGGAAGGGCACAGGTGTGCCATCGTGAACTGACGATCCTTCTGGTCGGAGCATTTTAGTGTTGAGAGAGTCCAGGACATTTAGTTCCATGCTCTTAAGGAAGCTAGTGCTTTTGTTCTCAAAGATAACAGAGACAGTCACTTGACTATCATTCTGGAGGTTTCCTTGAATATCATAGGTCTGTAAACGAAAGGGGGAGGGGAAAAAAAAATAAAATCATCACAGGAAAGATTCAGAAACTTGAAACAGCAGAGCATCAGAACAGACACAGCAGCAGCATAAAGCAAGCTTCAAAAAGAAGGTAATTTGATAGAGCTACAGGATAACGAAAAACACACTGATGATGAGCTCCACAGTACTGCCAAGTACAGGGAAAATCCTACTTAAAAACTTGTGAAGTGGCACACGCAAAGGCTTGAAAACGAAGCTTTGTTTTACTTCTACCTCCTGGGATTTAAATAGTTCTTCAGTTAAATGTTGTCTACGTAAGTCACTATACGATCCCCACGGTGGGGCATCCCCTCTTTTCTTAGAGAACCCAAAAAGAGAAGGTATCTGGAAGTGAGCACCGTAACACTCACCATTTTAATGTACGGATTTTCAGCAAGAAGGCGGTAACTGGACATAGGCTGAAAAACAAGAAAGAAATCACAGTCACAACATAACAAATTTCTTTGAAAAGGGCTGTCATTGTCCTTCCTCCCAGGACAGTTTAGCTCCTGCCTTTTCCCAAGGCGAGGGCTGCCAGCGCACGGCTACTCACCGGCAGCGGTTCATCATCCAGTGTTCCATTCTGCACCGACTCGGTTGTCTCCTCCTCGCTGTGATGACTCTTCTTTTTGGATTTCTTTTTATCCTTGGATTTCTCTTCTTTCTCTTTCTTGTGCTTTTTCTTCTTATGCTTGGAAGATTTCTACCAAGGAGAACAGCAAACTGCAACAAACCCTTAAAGAAACCCTGTATTTGTAGCTGTTACACCACAAGCCCTCCACAAATCTGGACTCTCACTCTATGCAGCCTTCTGCACTCAATGACATTTCCTACAAGTGCAGAAACCCACGACAGCCCTCCCATTTCTTAATTCCCAGTTATCCTTCTGTGGTGAGTCCCAGGAAACCCTTGCTCCCCGCTCGGATGACAACAGCTTAACCCAAAGCAGCCTGGGATCCGCAGGAGGCCAAAGCTCTTCAGGCCTCTGGGGGTTCAGCTTTCAAACTGCCTGACCCTGGGCTCAAGGAACCACCAAACCTTTTACTACGAAGTGTCTGGATCGACTCGAGGACATAACATTCCACTGCTGCCTACCTGAAAGGGGTCACTGCACTGAAAAAGACGCTGTTGTAACTCCTGCGTCCTTCTTTTTAATGACTAAGAGGCACTGGAATATGGCTAATGGGGTCAGCAACTTCAACTACTTACCTTTCCTTCATCTTCCTCCTCCTCATCTCGCTCTTCCCTTTCTTCCTTTTTTACCTTTTGAGGCTCAGCCACAAGGGCAGCACCCACTTCAGGCTCGCTCTGTGTGGATGAGCACAAGGATTATGACACTAATGCAACCCATCTGAAACAGCTGAATCCCACAGCAAAAGAAGTTTTAGCAGGGACACTCCCCCAACCACAAGCTGTTATTTCAAAAATTATATCGGACTAACATTCCACCGAGCTTTTCATTTTATGCCTCTGAAACTCAGCAGATAAAACTGCCTGAAGACAAGATACAAAAGAGTTGTGGTCAATGGCTC